CTGCTTTTCAATGTGTTTTTCTAGCTACCATAGTTCCTGAGATAGCGGCATATTTTCTGAAAAATATAATGACAATTGGCAAATTTTGACCTTTGATGACCTCTGGTGACCCCAATATTGCTCTAAGGTGAAAAATGACCGAAATACTTTCAAACTTATGCATTGAGAGCTATCGACTGCTTTTTACCGCGTCTTTCTAGCCCTCTTAGTTTTTGAGTTAGAGGTGGGTGGTAACATATGCCCCCCCCCCCCCACTAGGGCGAAGTTGGCCGAGACCGCCACTGGGGCGCGGGTTAAGCCAAAACTTGCCACAGTTAGTCATAAGCATGCGTTCTGTCACATATATTCCGTTTTTTTTTTTTGCCTCAAAAAGTTTTTGCCTTTCAAAAGGCAAAAACTTTTTGAAAAATATAAAAATAAAAATTTTGAATATTAATATATATAGTTTTCAAAATTTTCAAAATTTTGAAAATCCGAGACAGTAGTTTAATAGCGCAGTCAATTCTGAGTCGTTTCATGCAAAGAAATTGGATCTAGCTTAAAAACTGAGCTCTCGGGAGCGATTGCCGTGGTTCAATGTTTTGCGTCGAAATCGGCCGAACATGACGTCACTCTGACGTGATTTCCGGCCGACCTATGGTAGCTACGAAGTTAAAATTTTAACACGAGGTGTTAAATTGATGCAGCCGAAGGTACTGAAAGTTTGGCGTGAATACGTCAAGTGGTTTGGAAGTTATTGCAAAAAAAAAAACGGGAGGGGGCTATGAATAGCCCCCCCCCCAGTGGGGCGCGGGTTATACCCCCAAAACCCCCCTAAATATTGACCTAGAGGAACCAAGGTTGCACAAGGGCGAGAACTCCTGTGGGCCTACCTACCTACCAAATTTGGTGTTTCTAGGTGCCATAGAAGCCAATCGCGAGGGGGGGTCGCATCAACCTCCCCCCTGCCAGGCCGTGTTATGAAAAATGCCCTGCCAGGGCGAGGGTTAACCCACACCCCACAGGGGTTTGCGTATAACGCAACCTAATGGGTGGAGGGGGCTATATCGCCCCATCCCCTACTAACTCTGAAACTACTGGGCCGGTTGTCAAAATTCAAATTGCGCCTAAAAGTCCGAGACAAATTGTCCAGCGAAACCTAATTTCATTGACCTCGAGGTCACTGATGACGTCAGTCATTCGTCAGGCAAAGTAAAAATTATCAATGATTGGCTTGTTCACAATTCGGGCTCCCATTCTTCCCATGCAACGCCCATAGCGCTAATATTAAAATGGCAATATAAAGGGGGCACTGTGCCCCGGTGCCCCCCCCCCCCCGTTCCGCCGCATATGCCTACGCCCGTTGGGCTTGGTGGAGGTCTCGCGGTAGGGCCGGGCGATTGCGGACGCCGGCCGCTGGCCAGGGCCTGGATTGTGTGTCACATGTGCGGCTGCCGGCTCTTGGGGACCACTACGATGAACAACAATGGCACAGCCCTCCCTGGTCTTGGCCGCGGTGATATATTGATCGATTGGCAGTTGGCACTGTCAAGCATACCTTGATCAGCCTCTAAAAATAAAGAAACGCCGCTGTTTTTTTAGATATTCGCGAAAAAAACACAGGCAAGGATTGTTTAAACACCCACCTCAACCCCCCCCCCCCCGAGAGTCGTAATCGGAGTCGGTGGGAGTCGACAGCTCTGATCAGAGTTGATGTCGGAATCGAAGTCTTTTGTTTTGGAAGCCGGAGCCGGAGTTAGAGCCTAAAGGCCGCCGTCCACTATGCGGAACGCTTACGGTCCGTACGGAATTTAACACAGAACCCTATATGGGCGCATCCGGTCCGTACGGAAATCGTGTGCGAACTGTGCGGACCGCATCCGAACGGCAATCAGCTGTTGAGGTTCCGTCACCTCAAGGCACCGAACATCTATCGACTCCGTAAACATGATAGGGCTGCGAGTCAGAGTCGGAGTCACTGTCGGTCAGAGTCACAGTTCTAAGCTAAGTCCGATTCGGAGTCTAATTTTGGAAGATGGGGTAGATGTCGGAGTCAGAGTAACCAAAAATCCATCGACCGTACCGGGACGGCTGGGACCACTTCTGCGCCTGCCATCTATCGGGCAGTGTTTGGAACTACAGCGGGCGCCGGCCGGCCGCGCCGCGCGGCGCCGTTACCGGGCTATGGAGGCGAATGAAGTGGTGTAAAACCAGACGAATTTTACGCTTGTAAAGCAAAAAACGAAAAATGTACACTCACCACAGTGTTCAGCAAAGTACTGGGAACAATATGGATATAATTTAAAGCTAGTACGATGCGAACTGTTGGTTCCCTAGCCCGCGCCCTGCTGGGGGGTGTTTGAACACCCCCCCTTGTGGTTTTTCGCGAATATCTCAAAAACGGCGGCGCGGAGCGCCGCCGTTTTTGGTACACCTTACCATACATCAATTCTACACATGTTGTGAAAATTTCAGACCAAGGTCATTCAAGGTCAGGTCACCAGGTCACTTGAAGTGACCTCACCTCATAAAAACTTTCAATGTCTGTCATAGCTACACCGAGTGACCGATCGCTTTGAAACTTTCAGCGATTGCTAAGAGCAATAGCATGTACAAAATGTATATCTCAGAATTTTGATATCGATGACCTAAGGTCAGGTCAATTTTGCGACCTCCCCATTATAAGTCAATGGGAGAAAATTGAAATGCGCCTCTTTTGGATGAAAGACATTATAAACACTCCCAAACACCGAATTACAAGTGGTTTAGACACACTGAACTTGAAAATGGTGTCCGTGACCCTTGTTTATGCCCTGAGGTCATCTTAGGTCACGAATGGTATCTAACAGTTTTTCGCAAATAACTTTTGATAGAGGCATGCTAGAGCGATGAAAACGCCTTAGATGTGTTCAGCTCGACGATACGGATCGACTGATATGCAACATGACCCTTTCCGGTCAGGTCATGACCTTGACCTGAGGTCAAATTTTCAAGTTGACCTTTCAAGGTCAAGTCATAGTTCATTCGATGCGTCTTGACGAGAGGAACACGATGCCGGTAAAAGTAAGCTCGTACAAGGCTTGGGTCAAAAGTTATTGCAGAAAAACTGTTTTCGAAAAAATCGGCTATTTTTGCAGTTTTTGCCCCCTGCAGGCAAAACCGTTGACGTTAGGTCAAATCTGAGAGAATTACTCAGAAAGGGCGTTAATAGGGCTATCGAATGCGCTTTTCCGCGGCGCTGTAGCTCTATTGGTTCCCGAGTTATGCGTTGGCTTCTTGGAAATTTTCGACATTCGACCTGGAAATCGGCGAAATTTTGTCTTCAATGACCTCTGGTGACCTGACCTTTGACCTGATCAAAAAATTGACCGAAGTGATTTCGTCATTATTTTTTACGCTCTTTCGAACGCCGCCTTCCGCGTATCGCTACGTGGCCCAGGAGCCGAGTTACAAGGGGGGGTGTTCAAACACCCCCCCCCCCCAGCAGGGCGTGGAAATCCAGGACCCCCAGCAGGGCGCGGGCTAGAGCAGTATTTACATACTTGTAGGAGATAGGACTTTAACATTACGGGAGCTTCTAAACTGCGCTCGCAAAGTACTTGATTGTAAATATTTTCATTTAGAGGCAAAAATCTAAAAATGTACAGTCAGAGTGTTGTTCCCAATGCTTCTAGGTACACAATGAGCATAAATTTAGCTCGAAATGTCATCACACATTGGTTCCCAGTCCAGTTTAAAACGACACTTTGTGCCGCAGAGCCTATCTCTTCCAATGGATGGCGGCTGGGTGTCGGTTGTAGTGGTGGACAAGACAATAATCTTGAGTGAAATGAAATCATTTGTTTTCAAAGAAGAATTTTGAAGAACTTGTAATAATTGACAAATGATCGTTAATTACAGTGTATAATTTCAAGTTCATGGCAAATCAAAATATTTTAAACAATGCTAGTGAACCCCAGTACCGCCGCGCGAGAAAGCAAGTACTCGACGCACGGTCTGCCCGCCACTTCTGAAAATGGTCCGCGGCCGGCCGGCCGCGACCCGACACGCTCCGCAGCAGCCTATTGCGGATTCTAAGATGGAAGACCGATTTCCTTTAGTCACGCTTCAAATCGCGAGCGTTGTATTTTTGGAGCCTGAGTTTTGAGAAGGAATGTGTGGAATTAGAAAAAGGGAAAGACTGGGTGAAAAACGATCCTAGATTGAACTTAGATTGTACATCCTAGATTGTACATTGAACATCCTAGATTGTAGATTGCGAAACCTAGATTGAGAGTGAAAGAATTGTTCGGTCTTTGGAATGATCCTTGAATTTTGTCTCGTAAAGTACAAAGATATCTACTTTCTCGTACCGATGATTTGACCATTTACGATATTTGTGCACAAAAGTAACGAATACAGTACATTTCGAAACAGCCCTGCAACACCATCCACAAAAACTGCCAAAACAGCTCGAATAATGGCTCACCGACACTTCCAGTGCTATGGCACACACTGGGACCTGTTACCAATGAAGCTGGAAATGGTCTGCAAAAACAGGAAGCGTTCTGCACCAAACCGGAAGTATTCTACACTAAACCGTAATTATTCCTGGCAAAACCGGAAGCGGCCCGCATATGTGGTATTTCAATCACGACCTTGGCTGCCTATGAACAGTGCACGGATATGACGCAACGTTGCATATAGTTAAGTCTTCCTGCAAGTTTTAACGCCAACCGTTTTGTTTCAGCGATTTTGAGACGTCTGACAATATTTGTACCGATGATGGTTACAGAAAACATCAAGCTACTCTTACCTTCTAATTTCAAGTCGTTAGTTAAATACGCATCATTAATTTCCAATGGATATTAGACGACCACAGTCTTGATACTTTTTCTTTGCTACAGCTCTCTTACTGCCGGCACTAATAAACAAAAGGTATTCAAAAATTATTTCCTAGCACAATTATTTATCGTAGTGCTTCGCCATCGTCAAGTACGGCTATATTTATTTTAATTACTGTCCTTTTCCTCTTACAGATAAACACGACAGAGTCTTCCGAGTACGTCTTTGTCTTCCATCAAACCAGACTGAATAAGCGGCCTGCAAGCATCTCCATATTGAGACTGGACTCAACATCAACGTACTCTCGCCGCCGAACTGTCAACTTGGCCACTCAGAAACCATCGCAACTTTCTCGTAATACATCCAAATAACGCTGAGCGATCTTGACTCGCTTCGTATTTATTATCATTGAAACCCAGTTCAAACCTAGTCACCTGCCTATGTTTTGCTAAATCAGCTGTTGGAAGAGCAAAGTTCAGCGGGTTGAAATCCACGTTCCTGCTCTTCTCCAGTGCTGAAGATTCTTCAAATTGATTTACAAGGCGGAGTGTGATTCAAGTAGCTGGAGAATAGCTGGAAGAGTTGTGAATATCCTCAGAGGTGGTGTTTGGAGAAGTTTACCACGTGACGTTGTCATGCGATGGTGGGAGTGATTAGCCGGAGATGTTGGCCTAAAGACGCTGGCTGCTGAACAACGCATCACCCAGACGGATTACGAACTCTTTGTGACCGGAGTGACTAAACCCAAATTCACTAGACAAACGCACCAAGAGCCGGCCATCCGGCGTCACGAACCACCAATGTCCTCGTCGCCAAACTCCATGCCCTCGTCGCTAAACTCGACCTCGCTCCCCGCATACGACGACTACGACATGGCCATATCCACCTTTCCCAATCTCACCCCCTCCAACATCACACTCCTCACTCCTGAACGTGCTCCCCTCCATATCGTGATCTCCATGACAGTCCTCTACGGCGTCATCTTCTTCCTCAGCGCCTTGGGCAACACCACGACCATCATCACCATCGTACACAACGGGTACATGCACACGACTACCAACTACTATCTCCTAAACCTGGCCATCTCCGACCTCCTGCTCCTTATCACCGGACTGCCCTTCGAGCTGTACTCCTTTTGGCGACCCCACGGTCAACATGTCTTCGGAGAGGCCTTCTGTGTCCTAAGGGGACTTTGTGCCGAGACTTCCACCAACGCCTCCATCCTGACCATAGTGTCCTTCACGGTGGAGCGGTACCTCGCCATCTGTCATCCCCTTCTACAACATACTTTCTCGGGACTATCCAGAGCGATCAGATGTATCGTTCTTGTGTGGGCGGTGTCGCTTCTCTGTGCGCTGTTCCCTGCTCTTCAGTTTGGAATCATGTTCGAACGAGACGAAGATGGAAGGATCATCCCAAGTCAAGGCCGCTGTACGGTGGTGCGTGAGGTGTTTCCTCACGTGTTTGAAGCATCGTCGGTGCTGTTTTTCTTCATGCCGATGTTGATCATCACGTTACTGTATATCCAGATCGGGTTGAGACTTCGCAGACATCTAAGGAGATGCGTGGCACGGGCAAGTCTTCGTGGAAGAACAAGCGCTGGAGTGCTGGCGGCGAGGAGTGCTGTGGTCAGGATGCTAGGTGAGTTGTTACGGGGGAAGCGGGCTTGGGGCGGCTGCTCTTTGGGTGGAGATGCTGGGTGTGTGTCCGCCACTGGGGGGGGGGGGGGGAGATGCGGGGAGAGTGGCCGCCGCTGATCTATGGTTGTGGATGTCGTCATGGTTTGTTTGCCTTCGTGGTGGTACGTTCCCCCTCTTACATTTTTTTTTTTAGAATCACATCACGCTATGACATTTTGTTAACGTCAGCTGCCATCCTAGTTTACCTTACCTTTATACCGCATAGGGCTCCGAAACTCCGAAACAGTACAAAGCTTCTCATGGTATTTGATGAATACGCTCACAAATAATCAATTCATCCACTATGCTTCAATAGATAGTGAGAACTTTCGATAATCAACCTTTTTCAATACCACTACTTGGTGTCTTCGTAGAAGTCAAATAAGCACACCAACCTACAATTTCTATCTTGTTATTGCTCAAGCGAGCAAAACAGTCGTTATTCCTTTTCCATTTTGCAATAACACTGTATTTCGCGGATCGTAATTAAGTAATCAACCATTACCCAACCAGAAATTATCCCTGAAAGTGACGCTGAGACAGTCAAATGTCAATTCACCATGATTGTTTTGTTTTCATTCCGTTGCCTGCAAAGCTCAAACTTAACCCGCGCCCTGCTGGGGGGGGGGGGGGTTTGAACACCCCCCTTGTGGGTTTTCGCGAATATCTCAAAAACGGCGGCGCTCCGCGCCGCCGTTTCTGGTACACCTTATCATACATCAATTCTACACATGTTGTGAAAATTTCAGACCAAGGTCATTCAAGGTCAGGTCACCAGGTCACTTCAAGTGACCTCACCTCATAAAAAGTTTCAATGTCTGTCATAGCTACACCGAGTGACCGATCGCTTTGAAACTTTCAGCGATTGCTAAGAGCAATAGCATGTACCAACTGTTCATCTCGGAATTTTGATATCGATGACCTAAGGTCAGGTCAATTTTGCGACCTCCCCATTATAAGTCAATGGGAGAAAATTGAAATGCGCCTCTTTTGGACGAAAGACATTATGAACACTCCCAAACACTGAATTACAAGTGGTTTAGACACACTGAACATGAAAATGGTGTCCGTGACCCCTGTTTATTCCCTGAGGTCATCTTATGTCACGAATAGTATCTAACAGTTTTTCGCAAATAACTTTTGATAGAGGCATGCTAGAGCAATGAAAACGCCTTAGATATGTTCAGCTCGACGATACGGATCGACTGATATGCAATATGACCCTTTCCGGTCAGGTCATGACCTTGACCTGAGGTCAAATTTTCAAGTTGACTTCAAGGTCAAGTTATAGCTCATTCGATGTGTCTTGACGAGAGGAACACGATGCCGGTAAAAGTAAGCTCGTACAAGGCTTGGGTCAAAAGTTATTGCAGAAAAACTGTTTCCGAAAAAACCGGCTATTTTTGCAGTTTTTGCCCCCTGCAGGCAAAACCGTTGACGTTAGGTCAAATCTGAGGGAACTTACAGAAAGGGCGTTAATAGGGCTATCGAATGCACTTTTCCGCGGCGCTGTAGCTCTATTGGTTCCCGAGTTATGCGTTGGCTTCTTGGAAATTGTCGACATTCGACCTGGAAATCGGCGAAATTTTGCCTTCAATGACCTCTGGTGACCTGACCTTTGACCTGACCAAAAAATTGACCAAAGTGATTTCCTCATTATTTTTGACGCTCTTTCGAACGCCGCCTTCCGCGTATCGCTACGTGGCCCAGGAGCCGAGTTAGAAGGGGGGGGGGTGTTCAAACCCCCCCCCAGCAGGGCGTGGAAATCCAGGACCCCCAGCCGGGCGCGGGTTAAAATTACCATCGTGCTCCGAGCGTGTTGCAAACACTATCAGCAATGAGACACGTGATTGTAGACCTAATAATTTGAACCAATTAGAGTGGACCAATTGCGTTTGATCAGCAGCGGTAGACCAACTGTTGTGAAGCAGCTGTGATGGACCAACTGCTGTGGAGCAGCTCTGATGGACCATGGTGTTGGACCAACTGTTGTTAACCCGCGCCCGGCTGGGGGTCCTGGATTTCCACGCCCTGCATGGGGGGGGGGGTGTTTGAACACCCCCCCCCTTTCTAACTCGGCTCCTGGGCCACGTAGCGATACGCGGAAGGCGGCGTTCGAAAGAGCGTCAAAAATAATGAGGAAATCACTTCGGTCAATTTTTTGGTCAGGTCAAAGGTCAGGTCACCAGAGGTCATTGAAGGCTAAATTTCGCCGATTTCCATGTCGAATGTCGACAATTTCCAAGAAGCCAACGCATAACTCGGGAACCAATAGAGCTACAGCGCCGCGGAAAAGCGCTTCGATAGCCCTATTAACGCCCTTTCTGAGTAATTCTCTCAGATTTGACCTTACGTCAACGGTTTTGCCTGCAGGGGGCAAAAACTGCAAAAATAGCCGATTTTTTTTTTCGAAAACAGTTTTTCTGCAATAACTTTTGACCCAAGCATTGTATGAGCTTACTTTTACCGGCGTCGTGTTCCTCTCGTCTAGACGCATCGAATGAACTATAACTTGACCTTGAAAGGTCAACTTGAAAATTTGACCTCAGGTCAAGGTCATGACCTGACCGGAAAGGGTCATGTTGCATATCAGTCGATCCGTATCGTCGAGCTGAACACATCTAAGGCGTTTTCATCGCTCTAGCATGCCTCTATCAAAAGTTATTTGCGAAAAACTGTTAGGTTTAGGTTTAGGTTTATGTAGTGGGTTAGGTTTAGACACAGTCTATTCAGTACCCACATCATACTGGTTTGGGACAAGATGACAGGTCAGGGTGCCGCAGCCCGATGTCGGTCCAGCAGATTTTTGAAGTGGTTTGTAGATGTTGCAGCCACAACTTCCTCTGGTAAACTGTTCCAGGCAGTAACCACTCTGTTTGCAAAGAATTTGGCCCGTGCTTGACTGCTGCATCTTCTTTTTGCGAGCTTTAGGTGGTGCCCCCTTGTCCTGTCATCGAAGTTCCTCTCGAAAAACTGGTTTGGATCGACAGCGAGTTTACCTGTTAGGATCTTGTAAGCTTCTATCAAATCACCCCTGCTGAGTCTCTCTTCAATGGTAGGTAGTTCCAGCCTTTCCAGTCGTTGATGGTATGGAAGATGTTTGATTTCACGAACCAGTTTCGAAGCACGCCGTTGAACTTTCTCTAAGGCTTTAAGATCTTGAATTAAATGGGGTCCGACAGCACTCAGGCAGTAGTCAAGATGAGGGCGCACATAGGATGTGTACAATGGCTTAAAGTTGTTCATGTTGAGGCTAGCAAAAGCAATTTTCAGTAATCTTAATGCTGAAGAAGCTTTATTGGCTGCTTGATAACAGTGTTCAGTTGCTTTGAGGGAGCTTGTAGTTATCACGCCAAGATCACGCTCCATGGTAGTTGCTTTGAGTTCTCTATTCGAACCATTCTCTGTCATGTAATACCGGTTATGTTGGTTTGAAAACCCACAATGCATTATCTTGCACTTGGCAACATTGAACCTCAGTAGCCATTTCAGTGACCATGCACACAGAGCTTGTAGGTCGGCCTGTAGTGCAGCTACATCATCATCATGTCGGATTGGTCGATACACTTTGGCGTCGTCAGCGAACATTTTTATGCTACTTTTCATCTCTGTTGGCAGCTCATTGACATAAACTAAAAACAATGTTGGACCCAAAACAGAACCCTGTGGCACACCACTTTTTATATCCACTGAATTCGAAGTACTATTTCCTATAGTCACATGTTGTCGGCGGTTGTGCAGAAAGTCACAAATCCAGTCTAACAGCCTTCCTCGTATTCCATAGCCATACAATTTCTTCTTTAGCCTTCTATGCGGTACGGTATCAAACGCTTTCTGAAAATCCAAGTATGCTATGTCCAAAGCATGTCCGTCATCCAATGTTTTGGTCCATTCTTCCATTGCTTCAATCAAGTTGGTTTGGCATGATCTTCTCTTTGTAAAACCATGCTGGTGTTTTGAGATCAGGTCATGGTCATCCAGGTGTTCAATAATGCGTTTTCTAACTATTCTCTCCAAAACTTTACATGGTTGACTTGTTAAACTGATGGGTCTATAATTTCCTGGGGCTTTTTTTTGACCCTTTCTTGAATAGTGGTGTTACCCTTGCTTCCTTCCAATCAACTGGTAGCTTGCCCAAGTCCAAGGTTTTCTGGAAGAGGCATTTCAGTGGTCCAGCCATTTGATCTGCACACATTTTCATTACACTGTTGGGTATGCCATCTGGTCCTGCCGACTTGTTGATATCTAGGGCTTCTAATTCCCTGTGCACTTCTTGTAGTGTTAGTTCGATATGCTCCAGGATATTTTCGTCCTGTACACGAGCTGGGAATTCTGGAACTTCAGAATCGTCTTCTTCAACAAATACACTTTGGAAGAACTTGTTTAACACTTCCGCTGCTTCCATGTCACTCTGTGTCAATGTACCGCTTTCAGTTGTAAGTGGTCCAACCTTTGGCTTCAATTTCTGTTGTGACCTTATGTACCTTGATATACTACTTGGGTCTTGTTTTGCATGTTCAGCAATCTTGGTTTCGTGCTGACACCTTGCTAGTCTGATAAGACTAGTTGTCTTGTTTCTCTGCACCGTGTATCTCTTGTAGTCTTCTGTAGTTTTAGTCCTTCTGTACTCTTTCCACAATCTGTACTTTAACTTTACAGCCGCTTCAAGCCGTTGAGTCCACCATGGACTACGAGGTATGGTGTTCTTTTGATGTGACAAGGGTACATGTTGTTCAATGCTGATATTGACAATATCCTTTATCTTGCTCCAAGTTTGTTCTACTCCCATGTTTTCAAGAGTTGACCAGTCTATTTGACTAAGGTCATCAGACATTTGAGCATAATTACCTTTCTTAAAGTTTCTACGGGTTGGTTTGTCTTGGTTCATTCTGTTTGGTCTCTTGCTAATGTAGACGTATTCCCATGTGATAACACAGTGATCACTTTTACCCAGTGGGTCAGATCCCACAATGCTTTCAATGGCATTATCTTCATTTGCAAATACTAGATCTAGCAAGGA